TGCTCGTGTCGTGGTTGATGAGGTGGTGGACCAATATTCGGGGCTACAGCTTGACATTCCTGGAGGTGACGAGGAGCACACACTGGGAGAGGCCATACATCGTATCATCCTATGGAGAAAGGATTGCATCATCTTTCGAAGGCCACCGACACCGCGTCAGCTAGAGCTTGACATTCCAGGAGGTGACGAGGAGCAGACAACTCACGCTCCTCCAAGCCCGGCACAGCTTCGGGCCACTCCTCCTGCTTCAACTCTGCCAACGCGTGAGGCCACTCCTCTTGCTTCGACCCAGCCAACCATGCATCTCTTTAATTCTAGTTTCAATACCATTAATTATCATGCTTGATTAATTATTATCTGATCAAATTCTATTCTCGTAAAGGCCCTGAAGCAGGCGCCGAGGACTAATGTGTGTGCATACTACGTTTTCGAGAACATTCGCATGATGACGTCCGAAAGGACCAAAACTGATAGACAGCTATGGGTACGTTTGACAGAACAATATTCACAATTTTTACATCATTATCGATATCTAGTCACATAACTAATACACATGCATATTAATCTCCTTCTTAACAGTTCGAATCGGTGCGGGAGGTGCTCCTACCAGAGGAGCACATACGAGCACTTCAAGAGGAAATAGCGGGATTTTTGCTCGACCAGGTTATAGATCCCAAAGGGGAATTCTACTATGAGCTACTGCCCCAATGAATCACTCCCAATTGTCATCGTGCTCCGAAGGCACCAAGGCAAATGCCACTGGCTCTTAAGGCACCATGTAGGAAAAACTGTATATATATACATGTGTATGTGTGAATAATGGTGTGGTTGTGAGACATTCGATGATAGAGAAATTCTATATGACCGGTTCTACGAGAAATTCTATTTATATATATACATAACGTGTACAATATGTAGTATTATAAAATACCAGCAAACGAAAAAGAATTAAATGGAAAACACAAAATTAAAGGAAAAATAAATAATAAAACCAAAATCCCCCAAAAATTTCAGTACCGTTTGGTGTTACCAACCGGTACTAAAGGTCTCCCCACACCCGGCCCTGGCTCGTGCCACGTGGTGGCCCTTTAGCGGCGGTTCGTGCTGAACTGGTACTAAAGGGGGGGCTTTAGTCCCCACCCTTTAGTGCCGGTTATAGAACCGGCACTAAAGGCCCTTACGAACCGGTGCTATAGCCCGGTTCTGCACTAGTGTCCGCCCAGCCGCAGCCGCTGCCTCCTCCAGATGCGGCCTGCACCGCCGGCCGCCCGCCCCACCGTAGTCGCTGCCTTCCTCCTGCGCCGCAACATGCGCTAGTGGCCTCGTCATTGTGGTCGTGGAAAGTAGTGTGGGGTCGCTGAAAAGTGGGACCATACCGGATACGAGAGGACGGGAGTGGAGGAGAGCGTCCGCTTTTGTCCGTCGCGGACCCATTCGTGGCTCAAATTTGGGCTCAGTTTGGGTCGGGACGGACAACAAACGAACAGCAGGCGGACGTTGTGTCCGTTTGGGTCACCCCGTTGGGCCAGCTTGTTTGTCCGGATGACCCAAGCGGACAAAATGGGTCTCTGGGTTGGAGTTGCTCTAAGTGACAAAAAAGAAATGTTTTTTGTGTTTTAGCAGTAAACCCCTGCTGTTTTTATAATTAACCCACAGTTAATCTAGACCAAATAGTACTTTTTAAAATATTCATATCTTTTAAACCCTAACTCCAATTTTAAAATGTTATATATGATATTTGATTAGAAAAATATGTATAATATGAATATGATATTATTTTACCTTTTAAATATGTTAAAAATGCTATTTAGGATACAACATTAATCAATAGCGCACGATCCATCTTTCTTTCGTACCAACACCGACCCGGATTGCAAATAAACACCTCTGTAGAGCCAAATTGGAGACAAAAAAAAACCATCGATAACCATGCATGCACGCCTCAGCAAAATCTTGCGTTCATCTTATGTTAAGAGAGAGACGCATCGGCAAGACCTATAGGGGTCCTGTGTCATGGTTATTGGGTTAGGGCCATGCGGTATTTTCTTCGCCTGTTGCAATGTACATGCTCTTTGCTAGTTAATGATAATAGGAAGCCTACTTATTGAGTTGGTATTTTTTTAGGCCCAACGCAGCATGCGTTATGTAATTGCAGTTGGCCTACTCGGAGCTTAGGTTAAAATAAAATTCTAATTTGTTTTGTGTATTTTTCTCCAGCTGTCCAATCAAAGGAAAGAAAAATATGTGGAGCAGGCCGTTGACTGCACGGTTTGGAGGCTCAACCCAAAAAATTATGCATGTGTGGACGGGCAAAAAAATAGTACAATGTCAGATATGTACGATGGAAGAAAGAAAATAATTCTAGATGGTGAACAGACCAAAATTCAGAGAAACACATCTTACTTTTTTGG